GGATTTAGTGCTGATACACATCGTTTTTAAATCAAAACTTGGTAGGCAAAAAGGAATTTCGGTCGAATTTTTATACTAGGTATGGAGCTTTGCCATGCAACAGCCTTGTAAATGAAATGACAGTGGACGCGGGAGGTATTTTCACGAACCAACAAAAATATCGCCAAAAAAGTAATATATGGACAAAAGTTCATTAAATGCAAGCACAGGCAAATCAAAATTAAAAAAAAAGTGTAAAAAAATCATAACCCTAATGTACATATATGATACTTATATATGTATCTAATTAAAGGGATTCATATTTCTTATTGAACGAAATCAAATCTTTTGGAATCTGTGCAATGGTTTTCGGGATATTTGGATTTGAAAAAAGTGCTGCATTTGACCTTTGACCTTTCGTACATCCGGTAGTTCTCGTTTTCCCAAAAAATTACACCGTTACATTTGCCTCAAAAATCTCTATCGACGTAAATTTTTTTATTTCTGTATTTCTCGTATTCTTCACTTGTTCCTTTTTCACACATTGTTTGTACTCCGGATAGCGTAGGAAATAAGTAATTTTGTAAAGTACAAAAAATCTTCTTATTTATATTCTGATATAGTGTGACTTTACTTTAAGAAAACATTGTTGTTTGTCTTGATTTCGCACTTGCTCTTTTCACTTTAAATATAATGTGTATCCTTTGCTATTTACAAAGGAAAGGAACAATTTATTTTTATTCAAAATAATTTTAACGCCCAAAATATATTGAGTGTAATTCAAAATTTCATTTTTTGCAATTTCATTATGTGTTCTACAATAGCCTGGTTGAGCTATGATTTGTGGCTTTAAGCCTGTTTCATTACGAAGAGCCACAACAATCAGTTCTTTGTTTTTTGCGATTTCAACAACCCCAAGAAAAATGCTTTTACTATGTGCTGCAAATTAGTTGATCCTTCTATTTTGGCATGTAAGTCTTGTATTCCAATCACTTTGCAAATAGTTTTGATAGCTCGATGACAAACGAGGCCATAGCCTTCAGGTTTCCTTGCTACGAATATTCTTGTCTGGCCAAACGCACAAAAAAAATCATGAAATACCGTGTGTTTATCACAAACCTCAATTTTGATTACTTTTTGAGCTGCTCTATTTTTTGATTTTCTTAAAGCTGTTCGCACTTCGGGTGCCTTAGCAACAGCAAAACCGGCCAAGCCTTGACCGTTTCCAGTAATGGATAATACGGAGTAACGTCTCTTTCTTCCCATATTTCCTTTCATAATAAATACAATTTTATTTTCAAGTACTCTGGTATCAAAACTATTAAAATTTTCATCACCAATGCGGTCTGGTGGTCCAATACTGCGACCAGGCATTTTTGATCCAGACCAACCGCGATCAATAGAACTTAATTTAAAAATTCGAGAATTGCTCAAAAAGTCCCGTATTTTGTTCACACTTTCGTCTGATTCATTATCCTGTGGTGAATATTCATGCTGCACTAAGGTTTTACCTCGAACGATGGGGGAATTTATTCCAGGCCAAATAAAGCTTTTGCTTCCCGCACCTATCATCTGAACTCTGTTCAGATCTTTTGCTATTTTTTTACCAGACCCTTTACCTCTGCCCCTTTTTCTGGCAGCATTGCTAACTGAAGTAACACCACGCCATCGTCAGCCGATACTGAAAGTAACAGAACGAAAATGTTTTATATGTATATATGAGCAGAAATATATTCAACAAAGTATTTAGTAGTGATTTCGGCAGATCTCACTATTCGACTGCGACGAGAATGTCAAATATTAATTAAAATGGGGTTTATTTAAATTTAATGGGCTCTCAAGCCCAATTGTTGTCACTTACCATTATTTTAAAATGACGTTCTTTAACTAAACCAATTCTAGTTTATTAATATTTTCTTTTTTAGATCGGGCGGATTTCGTAAAAAATATATTGTTGGATTTATTCATTAATTCATTTTTTATTTTATTGAATAAGGTTCACAGTAAGTCCGAGTTACATGAGTGAGTTTCTTAAACTGAAAACCTGCTCTCAATATTAATACTTAGAACTTAACTTATTCACAGACTTAGTACTATGCTAGTATGCGTTAACGAACATGTATACAAGAATTGAGTATAGGAATACAATATATGTTCAGGGTTGTCATATTTACTTATATTTCCAACACACCTCTTTAAATTGACAACCTTATCAAATTATTTCATTAAGTAATGTATTCGTATATTATATTGAAATGATGGTGGATTCAAATTAATCTCAAAGCTTCCCTGTTTCTCAAAAACTTTCTTTTATCTAAGCTCTTGGTTAACATATCAGCTAAGTTTAGTTCGGAATTTATTTTAACAATATCTATTATACCTCTCTCATAGTTTTCATTAATGTAATGGTATTGCACTTCAATGTGCTTTGAATTTTTTGTAAAATTTCCAAATTTTGCAATTGCAATTGCGCCAGAATTATCTTCATACATCCTTACCGCTTTATCAAATTTTACATTGAATGATTCAATTAATAAATTTCTTATAAATAATATTTCAGTTACTGCTTCGGACATTGCAGTGTACTCTGCAAAGGTTGAACATTTTGTTACAGTGTTTTGTTTATGCGTTTTCCAATATATTAAATTTCCATATAATCTTATTGCAAAACCTGTTGTGGATTTCCTATCCACATTGTCTCCTGCAAAGTCCGAATCTACCATACAATCTAATACCTCACATTCTAAATTGTCATAAAATGTTAACTTTAAGTTTTTAGTTAAGTATAGATATTTTAAGACCCTCATAGCGTATTTGAAGTGAGTAGCGTTGTAACAACTTTGGTAGCGACTCAAATAATTTGTAGCGTACGCTATATCTGGTCTTGTGCCAGTGCTTATATATAGTAATTCTCCTATGAGATTTCGGTACTTTATATTTTCATCTATTTCGCTAGCTTGAGTAAGTTTAAGACCTGTTTCCATAGGTGTATCGTATAGTTTTGCGTTTTTTAAGTTATACTTTGCAGCTAAGGAATCA